AATCACAACACACTGGGCTAGCTAACCAATCTGAGCCCATCGCCTATTTCTGAGGTGCGGGGCTTCATGAAAACAGGAAAGGACCATCCCGTTTCTCAGAGAAGGGACAGAGCGGTGTGGAATAAAGGTAAATTATGTGAAAAATAATGCATTTTTAAAAAAACGAAGCATTAACAAATATTAGACTGCACCCCATAAACACAATCAAGCCTAGAAAAAAACCAGTGAACCACCCCTTTAAGAGTGAAGTATTTAAGACAAGTTTTTGTATTGTAACTTGTAGTGTTTGTTGTTGTTGTTGTTTTTTTAAAGTGTGAACCAAAGTATGTAGATATATCCATTATGTGTATACATATCTGAGGGGTTCATCGGACAGAAACGTTTGGGAATCAATGAATTGCTGCATTGCTCACCTGAGGAGGATAACAGCAACAGGAGACCTTACAAGCAAATACTGACAAACAGATGGAGATGATAAACTGAAGGAAGGTGAATAACAGCAATACACCACTGATTCCGCAGAAGAGGGTCTGAAAGAAAAATCAACATTAGCACAAATAATAATTAAATTAATATCAATATCTTCATGCATTGTAAATGATCATTAAGGAAAAGATCTATAAACTACTTCTGAAATGTTGGGGGAAAGATGGGACAGATGAATGCAGGTTAAGGCTTGACTTTTGACAAGTGTACTGACAGCACAGTGATCTTAATGTACATATAAATATGAATATAAAAGTTGACGACATACCTTATATTTTCCCTGAACATAACATTCAGAATTGTTGCAGTTAGAGGAAAAGATGATTTGTGCTAGAACCAAATCCAGTGAAGTTAAAATAAGGGCAATGCCTGCGGTTAAAGCACTGAAAATGTTCATTCCAAGTGAACCATTCACCTATAGGCATAAAACCAACACAACGTTATTGAATGTGTTGTCTTAACATGTTGTGTTAAAGTAGATGGAAAAATATATGGAGTGTGATAAAAATAAACTACTTGACATACATAAATAAAATACAGCTGCAAGCTGCAATCATCAGGGTCCTAGCACCAATGCCTTGTATGGATTATTAAGTGATACAACTGAAATCAACTTTTCAAAAATAATGTGGTTTTACAGCAAAGTCCAGCCTATCTTCACTGATAGTTTAGGTTACAGCAAATATGCTGTTGTCAAAATCTCTGAACATTTTTTTACTGTCCTAAGATATGCGATCATAAGCTACAGTGGTGTGAAAAAGTGTTGGCCCCCTTCCTGTTTTAAATTTTTTTTTGCATATTTGTCACACTTAAAAGATTCAGATCATCAAACAAATTTTAATATTACACAAAGATAATGCAAATAAACACAAAATGCAGTTTTTAAATGATTATTTATTTTATTAAGGGAAAAAAGCTGCCCAAACCTGCCTGGCCCTACGTGAAAAAGTAATTGCCCCCTAAATCTAATAACTGATTGTGCCACGCTTTGCAGCAACAACTGCAATCAAGTGTTTGCGATAACTGGCAATGAGTCTTTCACATCGCTGTGGAGGAATTTTGGCCCACTCTTCTTTGCAGAATTGTTTTAATTCAGCCACATTGGAGAGTTTTCAAGCATGAATAGACTGTTTAAGGTCATGCCACAGCATCTCAATCGGATTTAAGTCTGGACTTTGACTTGGCCACTCCAAAACCTTAATTTTGTTTTTCTTGAGCCATTCAAAGGTGGACTTCCTGGTGTGTTTTGGATCATTGTCCTGCTGCATAAACCAAGTGCGCTTGAGCTTGAGGTCACAAACAGACGGCCGGACATTCTCCTTCAGGATTTTCTGATAGAGAGCAGAATTCATGGTTCCATCAATTATGGCAAGTCATCCAGGTCCTGAAGCTGCAAAGCAGCCCCAGACCATCACACTACCACCACCATGTTTGACTGTTGGTATGATGTTCTTTTTATGAAATGCTATGTTGGTTTTACGCCAGATGTAACGGGACACACACCTTCCAAAAAGTTCAACTTTTGTCTCATCAGTCCACAGAATATTTGCCCAAAAGTCTTGGGGATAAACAAGATATTTTTTGGCAAATGTGAGACAAGCCTTTGTGTTCTTTTTGGTCAGCAATGGCTTTTGCCTTGGAACTCTCCCATGGATGCCGTTTTTGCCCAGTCTCTTTCTTATTGTTGAATCATGAACACTGACCTTAATTGAGGCAAGTGAGGCCTGCAGTTCTTTAGATGTTGTTCTGGGTTCTTTTATGACCTCCTGGATGAGTCGTCGTTGCGCTCTTGGAGTAATTTTGGTAGGCTGGCCACTCCTGGGAAGGTTCACCACTGTTCCAAGCTTTCTCCATTTGTGGATAATGGCTCTGACCGTGGTTCGCTGGAGTCCCAAAGCCTTAGAAATGGCTTCATAACCCTTTCCAGACTGATACATGTCAACTATTTTGTTTCTCATCTGTTCTTGAATTTCTTTAGATCGCGGCATGATGTGTTGCTCTTTAAGCATGCTTCACTTTGTCAGACAGGTTCTATTTAAGTGATTTCTTGATTCAACAGGTCTGGCAGTAATCAGGCCTGCGTGTGGCTAGTGAAATTTAACTCAGCTTTCTAAAATAATGTGGTTAATCACAGTTCTTTCATGATTTAAGAGGAGGGGCAAATAATTTTTCACGTAGGGCCAGGTAGGTTTGGACAGCTTTTTTCCCTTAATAAATGAAATTATCATTTAAAAACTGCATTTTGTATTTACTTGCATTATCTTTGCGTAATATTAAAATTGGTTTGATGATCTGAATCTTTTAAGTGTGACAAATATGCAAAAAATTAAAAAAAACAGGAAGGGGGCAAAAACCTTTTCACGGCACTGTATAATAACTGTTTTCTATTTAATACATTTAAAAATGTAATTTATTCCCGTGATGGCAAAATTGCATTTTCAGCAGCCATTACTTCAGTTTTCAGTGTCACATGATCCTTCAGAAATCATTCTAATATTCTGATTTGGTGCGCAGTTGTTATCACTTGTTACTGGTGCTCAATTATTAATAATGGTTCTTAATATTATCAATGTTGAAAAACGTTTTTGCTGTTCAATATTTTTGTGCAAAATGTCATACATTCTTTAATGAAAAGAGTTTAAAAAGAACGGCATTTATTTAAAATAAACAATCAATTTTGATCAATTTAATGCATACTTGCCGAATAAAAGCATTCATTAATTCTTTTTAAAAATCTTACTTCAAACTTAAAAAAAAATGCTGCAAAAACATTGATAATAATAAGAGATGATTCTTGAGAAAGCTTATGATTGCATTACGATCAAATTAGTTTCCAAAGCAGCATGTAGATACAACCCTGATAATACCACAGTACTATTTTTGTAAGTGAAACAAACAAAAACAAAACAGAACTTGTTGAGAAGGTCATAAAAGATATTTACAATGTGCAAGTCTTTGCAATAAAGTTTGGTGAACCATGAGTTATACGCCATGGCTGCCACAATCACCGCAAGGTCCCTGTGACAAAAAGAGAAACAGAAGAAAAAAATCTAAACAAATTGTTTCAGTGAAGTGCTGCAACAACCAGAGGCATTCTCATTTTTCTCATGCAAGCCCTCATAAGATTTCAAGCTCTCTTCAAGACTAAAATAGAGATGTTATTATTCAAGAAAAATGATAGATTCAGCAATAAATGCTCCCTGAGAGGAAAGCCAGGAGAGGAAGGGACGGGGACAGTGTGGATCGATGGGAAAACTGGTGCCAGGTCAGTGAATTACTCAGCGCAATGTGTCTATGATACAGCTTTTAAAGTTGGCCCTGAGCCTAAAACCTTTTTACCTATAGCCAGAGTGGACCTTACTGCACTGAGAAGGAGAACGTGGAAAAAGACGGCGGGGGAAAGAAATGCAAAAGGGTTTCTCCTGTTGAGTACGGCTGATGGCTGTGTTCTCATTTGCAGCTTCGTCATTCTTCTGTTTGGACGCTGTAGTGAGACTGTAGGCAGTGTGTACTCAGCTGTTCTCTCCTTCTAAATGAGTTTCTCTACTTCACCCGCTCATTTCTCTCCCTCTAGATGTTCTAATGGAACAAATGCTTAAAAATCA